CTTAACATTTTTTAATCACAATTGCTTATTTTTGCTCATTTTAATATATTTTTAAACTTTTTCTAAATTCTTTTTTATATTTTTACATTTTTTGTTTTTGTGAAGCGCCTCGTGATTTTTATCTTGAGAGGAGATATAGAAATGAAATTTTTTTCTTCTTCGTCTTCTTCTTCTTCTTGTACAGCTCTTTTCAGAGTCAGAGGACTCCAAAGCGCTTTACACTACAGTGTGTTAGTCATCCAATTCCACACACATACACACACTGATGGGGATGAGCCACTTTGTGGCCATAGCTGCCCAAGAGCACACTGGCAGAGGGGAGATTGCCAAAGTCTTGCACCACCAGTCCCTCGAGGGGCAAAACAGCAAAATTCTCTGCTTGGAACCAGGATTGATCTTGCAACCATCTGATTACTGGACAACCCACTCTACCTCCTGTGCCACTGCTGCCCTACAAATGTAATGTCAGTAGTCATGCACAGGGTAAGTAGTAGTTTGTTCCACAGATTTGGAGATGCCATTGAGAATGAGCGATCACCTCACTAGTAGAATTTTAGAATAAAAAAGGACATTTAATTTTATCAATGCTGATGCTCATCCGTCCATTTTCAGCTGCTTGTCCAAAGTCGGGTTGCCGGGGCAGTAGCCTAAGCAGGGAGGACCAGACTTCCCTCTCCCCAGCCACTTGGGCTAGCTCCTCTGAGCGAATCCTAAGGTGTTCCCTGGCCAGCAGGTTTTCATTTAGGTCTTCTCCCGGTTGGACGTACCCAGAAAACCTTACCAGGGAGGCGTTCGGGAGGCATCCAAACTAGATGCCCAAGCAACCTCAGCTAGCTCCTCGATGGGGAGGAACCGTGGGTGTGCTCCAGGCCCCTCCCGGATGATGAGCGTCTCACCCTGTCTTTAAGTGAGCCCAGCCACCCTGCGAAGAAAACTCTTTTCACTACCCAAAGCTTGTGACTATAAGTGAGGGTTGGAACGTAGATCGACCGGTAAATCGAGAGCTTCACCTTCTGGCTCAGCTCTCTCTTCACCATGACAGACCAGTACAATGAACGCATCACTGCAGACTCGGCACAAATCCACCTGCCGATTTCACTCCAATTTTCCCTCACTTTTGAACAAGGCATCATTACATGCTTTGTAGAGGCTCAGTGGTCAGTTTTGGATTACTGATTAACTGCATTCTAAAGTCTCTTTTAATGTTTACAATCAACTTGATGATGTCTCTTCATCAAAACACAGAAATGTTCCAAAAATCTGTTGTCACATCAGGTTTTCTAGTTCGAGCTACAATGGTAAATATGTAAACCAAGCTAGCTTAACACATTTTTTCATGCTTCTTAACAACGTTCTGACATAATATAGCCATAAACCTTTTGTGGAGATTTAAAAAAAAAAAACTCTGGTTTGGGCATCTGGTCAGGATGCCTCCTGGACGCCTCCCCGGGGAGGTGTTTCGGGCATGTCCTGCCGGCAGAAGGCCCCCGGGTCGACCCAGGACACGTTGGAGAGGTTACATCTCCAATCTGGTCCGGGAACGCCTTGGGGTCCTGCCGGAGGAGCTGGTGGACAAGGCCGGGGAGAGGACGGCCTGGAGCTCCCTAATTGGGATGCTGCCCCCGCGACCCGGACCCGGATAAGCGGAGGAAGACGAAGACGAAGACGAAAAACTCTGGCAAAACCCCTGACGTGGGAGGAGATTGGTGAGACCATGAACTCTCAAATCTCTGGGGCTGAGGTCACTAAGGTGGGCAAAAAACTCCTTGGTGACAAGGCCACAGGGATGGTTGAGATCCACTTGGAGTTCCTTAAGGCTCTGGATTTTTTTTGGGCTTTGTTGGTTGACGCTGCTCTGCAGTATCGCATGGACATCAGGGGCAGTTCCACTGGTTTGGCAGACTGGAGTGGTGGTTCCCGTTTGGTGGCCATTTTGATGGCCTAAGGATCAGGTCTCTGCTTTTTGCAAGTGTGGTTCTGTTGGCTTCATCAGACAGTGATCTTCAGCTTTTGCCAGAGACCATGGTCTTGAGTCAGAAAAGGGTAGAATGCCTTTTGCAGGTCAGGGATGAGGTCCTGCCTCAAGTGGAGGAGTTTTAAGTATCTCTGAGTCTTGTTCATGAGTGAGGGAAAAATGGAGCTTAAGATTGATAGGTGACTTGGTGCTCCGTTTGCAGTAATGGGGGCGCTGTACCAATCAGTTGTGGTGAAGAGAGAGCTGAGCCAGACGGCAAACCTCTCGATTTACCAGTCAACCTACGTTCCTACCTTCACCTATGTCACAAGCTTTGGGTAGTGACCAAAAGAACGGGATTGTGGATACAAGCGGCCAAAATGAGTTTTCTCAACAAGGTGGCTAGGCTCTCCTTTAGAGGTAGGGTGATAAGATCATCATCCAGGAGGGGCTCAGAGTAGACCCGCTGCCCCTCCATTTTAAGAGGAGCCAGTTAAGATGGCTCGGCTATTTGCTCAGGCTGCCTCCTGGACGCCTCCCTGGTGAGGTTTTCTGGGCACGTCCAACTGGGAGGAGACTCAAGGGAAGACCTAGGACATGTCTCTTGGCTGGCCAGGGAATGCCTTGGGATTCCCCTGAAGGAGCTGGCCTAAGTAGCTGGGCAGAGGGAAGTCTGGGCCTCTCGGCTTAGGCTAGTGCCCCAGCGACCCAACCCTGGATAAGCTGCCGATAATGGATGGATGGGGAAAAATGAAAAACATTGATCAAGTGGTTTTTTCACATTTGTCTAAAAACACGTTCAGGTCTGAATCCAGTTTTCTGTCTCACTGAACCACCAAAAGAAATTGTCAACCATCAACAGAACACCACTGGTGTGAGAGGTTCTTCGCTCAATAATATCAGAGAGGGAGAAACAGCCGGCTGATACCACTTCAACTTTAGGACAAAGTACCAGAGTCCCAAAAAGAAAAACACCATTTGAAGTCAGTGACAACAAAAAATGTTTTCGTCTAGGAAATGATGACTGGTGTTTCACGCTATGTCTTTTACTCTGGCAGTGCAGGTTCTGGTATCCAGCGGACGTGGCTGAGGGCTGAGAGTTCTGACTGTGTTTGTGTTTAAAAGCTAGCGCCTGTAGGGTGCATCTGTTTGCTATTGTAACCTTTAACAAGGAAGTACTCCTTGAGATCAAAAATCACTTTTGCAAAAGTAATTTTATCATTGGTGGTGTAAAGGCACCCAAGCTGCCAAAGTCATCATTGGCAAAGTTTGATTGAAACTAGGGCTGTCAATCAATAAAACAATCAATCACGTGACTTAATTGTTGAAAAATTGCATATTTGAAGTATACCTTATATGGCTGCAACAATGAATCGATAAAATAGTTAAAAATTGATGACAAAATGCAACACATTTTGTCATCAATTTGTTATGTTCAACGTTTTTTTCATGTTTCACAACCTTTATTTAACAGTCAATGCGCAGACGGAAAGAAAAAATGTTTTCCTAGCACTTTTTAATCGAGTATTTTAGTTAATGACATTTGTGGGATATTTGGGGTCTTTTTAATCTGTAAGGCACTTCGAGTTGCATTTTTTATATGAAAAGCACTTTTTAAATAAAGTTTGATTTGATTTAAATATTCCTGTTTAATCTGATTAATCGATTAATCGAGGCGAGGCCCTATCTGATTCATTGATAATCCAAGCAATTGTTTGTGCGGCCCTAATACCTTATTATCTTTTTCATGTGTTTAATGCTTTTATGAACAAACACATTTAAGGGTTTTGTGATTAGTTAAAATAATATTTGAACTTTTTCAACCCTAATTAATACCAACAACTTCATACTTTTCAGTTCCTACTTGTACTTGTTCTTTTGAACTTTCTTGGATTACAATTCCCTAAATGACTAAGTTTTCCCTGCATGTTGATCCATGTGGTCTCTGGCCAGCAGAACCCATGTGTGTGCATCGGTTAACTTAGTGCTGAGGGGAACTTGGCAGGAAAAATAAAAAGTCAGAATAGTTTATCGTCACTGTTAAAGATCCAGAGATTCACCTTAGTCCACCCTCTCCCTTCTACAACCCCCACACCCAAGCTCCACCCTGTCACATTTGGATCAAAGAAGACAAGAGGGATTTCCTCTTTTGATCAGCAGAGGATGGAGGAGATGAATGGGCAGAAGCAGCACCGGAGCTGTTTGCTTTGCACTTGACTAACACTGAGCCGCAGCCCTGCTCACACCAGCTCCAGAAATGACCCCATCCTTTTTAGGAGAGTAACCCCACCCTTATTTAATTTCTCATTTAAACCCAGTTGGAAATGTAAAGGCCCCGTCTGTGCCCCCTCACCCCTGTCACCACATATACTTCCAGGGATGGTGAGACTGGGCCACTGCACTGTTCTTGACTCGTCTAAACACCACTGCCAAGCTGCTTTGTCCCAAGGGAGAAGGGAGGTGATGGGGACAGGAAGAGGGCTATAGTGAAGAGGGTGGTGGTGGTGGTGGTGGGGGTATTCATGCAGGTTAAAAGTCAGAGTTGCAGGGTAACATTTGTTAGCTCAGACTCAGAAAACACAGCGGAAACAAGAGGTCACCTTCCTGACCCTCCCAGAGCCCTGTGGTGTTGCACAGTTGACTTTGGGTCAGACTCTAAGGATGACTGGCAGCTGGCAGCATTCCTGCTTTTCCCTTCACCATAACACTACACCTTTTGTTGTTTGGGTTTATTCCTTTCTTTTCCTCTATATTTGAGTTTTTCCAACATTTTGAGCTACTCAGGCGCCACTGAGAATCTATGATGGCACTAGAGGTGGAACGGAACAATGTGGGTTGCTCTTGTAACCAATGATTCAATGATATGAGTCATTAGGATAATAATAACATGAATGATTAGGATATGTTAAATGGGCTTTTTGTTTTTGTTTATTGTTTTGAATGACTGATTGTGTTGTAAAGCACCCTGGGGGGTCCCAGGACTCGAGAAGGCGCAATATCAAATACAGGTCATTTACCTTTTTTTTCTTTGGCTGTGTGTGACCAGGTCCCATTTGCTCGCTCAGAAACTCACCTCAGTGAGCTTCTGGATGAGGTGTGCAGCAGCATGAGTGACTACGCCCTCTACCAGGACCCAGACACCCAGAACAAGCGCTACAAGAGGTTTGCTCCCAGGGACAGCGGGGATTCAAGCAACTTCCCAGACTTGAAAAACTTTCAGTTTGATGGACCTGAGGCATCCAACTCCCTGAAATTTGCAGTGAGTAAAAAAACCGCCTTACTGAATTATAAAACAGTAGGATTGTAGCAGCTTGAATTAAGAGAGTAAGTACATTACTGAAAAGAACACAAAACAGCAAATATTAAATAAAATAAATTAAAATCAGATAAATAAAACTAAATCATGAAATTATAAAATGATTATTAATGTCATAAAACAAAATGAAAGAGGATTATACATTTGAGTTAAAAAAAAGAAGAAGATAAACATAAAAGATTTAGTAAATAAAGGGGTCTCCAGCTGCTTTTTAAAGGTCCAGACCAGAGAGGACTATTCCATTCATTTTAAGCTGTATGAAAGGTTTTTATTGCTAACTGTGTTCCTTCGGACAAGTGCTTTTGTGAACCAGACCTCACCTTTAAACCTAACAGTGTAGCTGATGTTGGCCCAGTCAGTAATTCAAACAAAACACATAAAACTGCCTTCAATTCAAAAGGTGTTGTTCATCATTTTAGATCAACTTTTTATGATACAACTTACTTGGGATATGTGTTAAAGACAATCCGTGACCTTAAGAGATGATTCATGAACAGTGTGTTAGGAAAATGTGCACATTAACTACGGCTGGAACAAACGATTATTTGGATCATCAATTAATCAGACGGGGTCTCGACTCGATTAATCTGATTAAACTGGAAAACTTAAAAACTGCCAGGGGAACGTTTTTTCTCCTTCCTTTACTTTAACAACAGAACATGATTAGAAAACAGTTCAATAGCGTACAAAACAACATGCTATCACAACATCCATAATTAAACTATGATCAGTAAAAATACTGGAAACGCTAATAACATTTAATTTCTACAGCTAGAAAGAACGAGATCGCGGATACAAGCGGCCGAAACGAGTTTCCTCCTTAGGGTGGCCGGGCTCAGCCTTAGAGACAGGGTGAGGTGCTCGGACATTCGGGAGGGACTCAGAGTAGAACCGCTGCTCCTCCGGATCGAAAGGAGTCAGTTGAGGTGGTTTGGGCATCTGGTCAGGATGCCTCCTGGACGCCTCCCTGGGGAGGTGTTTCGGGCATGTCCTGCCGGCAGGAGGCCCCCGGGTCGACCCAGGACACGTTGGAGAGGTTACATCTCCAATCTGGTCCGGGAACGCCTTGGGGTCCTGCCGGAGGAGCTGGTGGAGGTGGCCCGGGAGAGGATGGTCTGGAGCTCCCTAGTTGGGATGCTGCCCCTGCGACCCGGACCCGGATAACCGGAGGAAGACGACGACGATGGATGCATTTGTGAATTACATGCTACAGCTAAGAATAAACAGGAAGATGGGGTCTTTTCTTCCACTTGTAGAGTTTAGATATTCTTAGCTTCACGACCATCATCTTTTATTGGAACCCCACTTGATTGTCAGCCTGCTACCAGCTACCAATAGCTAATCTGCTCGTAGTTGCACTTTTGATCCCAAACTTTGTGTCTTTGCTGGTCTCTCTGTTTTCCTCCACAGCACTAAATTAGCACATTGTGCATCAGTAAAAAGCATCATCCTTACACAATAACAAGCAACTTACCCTGTTCAATAAATTTCTGGGGAAAAAAGTAACTTGAAAAAATGAAAAACTTCAATTGAATATTTTTAAGTTTATTTATATAGCACCAAATCACGACAAGAGTCGTCTCAAGACACTTCACAAACATTCCAATACAGGTCAGTTCATTAAGCCAATCAGAAAAAAGTTTCCTATATAAGGAACCCAGCAAATTGCTGTAAAGTCACTGACTGGTGTCAGTGACTTTACAGCAATCCTCATACTAAGCAAGTACACAGAGTTTTTTTGCATGTGTGACATATGTCTCTCTCGTTCTGATCTGCCTTAGTCTGCTCTGCTGCCACGTACAGATAAGCAGCGCACACCAACAACGAATCGATAAAGAAATGCGTTTCCCTACACGTTTTTTATAGATTTTATTGTTTCGCTGTTTTAACCCTAAAATGAACAAATCTTGTTTGTAATAAACGGCTCACATTTGTGGGAGTATTTTGTAGTATGGCATCTCAAAGAAAATGTTGATTCTGAAAGGAAACTAAAGGTTTTCTGACAAATGTAGTGGGGTGTACTCATTTATACTGAGTACTGTATATAGGAGACGTACACATATACATGTGATTGGCATGGCACAAGACTGTTCAGGCCTGATGAGGTTCCCATGGAGTGTCTTGACCGAACTTCAGAGCAAAATCCTTTTGCTTCTGCTACTGTCGGCCTTGATTTCTAGACTAACCAGAGCAGCACCATCCAAAGTGGGATGGATGTCGTTACTCTGAATTAAGCTAGGTTTTCTCCAAAACATTTGCCAGTTATCTACGAAGCCCACATAGTTTTTAGGACATCTCCAAGATCTATGGTTCCCAACCTTTTTTACTTGAGAACCACCTTGCTTGTGTCCAAGACCAGCCAAGGACCTCCAACCCAAACTCCTGCTCATGTACCCACATAATATGGGCTCTACACACCAGGAGTCCTACACACCAGGAGGAATCCTACTTATCCTGGAAAAATACTCTCTTTTGCTTTATAAAAATAAGCTTTGACGAGCTAGAACTGCTTATTTTTCATTGTTAATTGAGGAAAATAAGAATAATCCTAAATTTCTTTTCAGTGCCCTTGCCAAACTTCCACAGAATCATAGCTTTGAACCATATATTCCCTTAGCCCTCAGCAGCAACAACTTTATGGGAGTTTTCAGTAGTAAAATTAATTCTATTAGAAACAAAATCATTAGCATCCTCTCTAATGGGATTTCTTCTTCCTAAGTAAGTGAGAGGCAGCATCAGAGGTAACTGTAGAACCTCATCTGTGTTTGAACCGTTTTGATCCAGTTGAGCTTTCAGAGTTATCAAAAATATTAGCTTCATCTAAACCTTCAACTTGCATTTTAGATCCAATCCCAACCAAATTATTTAACTCATTCACTGCCATTGACAACTGAAGTTGTCATTTTAAATCCAAACGTTCACTGCCTATGACGGCAGATCTTTTAGCTGTCAGGCTCGTCTCCTGTGGAACCAGCTCCCAGCTTTAGTCCATGAGGCAGACACCTGGTCTACTTTTAAGACTAGGCTCAAAACAGTTTTATTTGATAGAGCCTATGGTTAAAATCTGATTTTAGCCTAGATCTGGACAAGTGGGGGAGTAGAGGGAGGTGGAGTGTACAGTCTGTAAAGACGGCTCTCCCTTGCCCTGCCTCCAACATGCCTCCATCTAAAAGGCTAGCTTATCCATAGTTATCTCTGTAGTTATGCTGCTATAGGCTTAGACTGCTGGAGGATACACTGACCACTTTCCAGACTTGATTACTTTCTTCTACAGTCTGCTCTTTAACTGTATTATTTTCTGCAATTTCAGCTGTTAACTTTATTTTCGCTAAGTGTTTTTCTCCCCAGAAGAAGCTACAATGATGTTCTGCTGAGCTGTGGTGGCCTCATGGAGGGGGCCATCATCTAGCACACTGCTGCTAACCACTTAAACATTCTCCCTCTCCTGATAATAACTTTTTACTTTCTCTGACATTGAATGTGCTACTACTAGTTTACCCGTTTAATTATAGATTCACTAGGATAAATACAATAAAGTTGATCTCACACCAAATAGAATATTTATTAAGAAATCACAATGTAACCATAGAGACACTACTTCGTATATCTGGTGGGTGTGGGTGTGTTTTTGTGTGGTTGTGTTTGTGTGTGGGTGGGTTGGTGCATCGATATATATACTGGACAATTTGTGTCCATAGACTGCAATTATAAGTTTCTGTGCCAAAATGGGAGGTTCCCACCACCGTCACAGGCTCCGTCAAGCCCAGACAGTTCCAAAAAACGGAAAAGTGGTGGAGCTGAGGGTGGGGCTGTAAGGCTGGGGATCAAATGACGACACCCGTTGAACTGAAGCGATGTAGCTACAAGCTAACCTAAAGCTAACGCGGAGGTGAGAGCTAAGCTAACGGAGGTAGTTGCCTAGCTACAACTGGAGTTAACTGTGCACAACACCAGAGCTTCTGAGTCAGAGATACGCCGGGCTGACCGCTGGGGAGAACCGGGTGGAACACAGATGTTTCCCGAAATCTCCACAAGCCGGCAGCCGTGCAGCAAACTGGCGCCGCGGCGATCAGAGATGCGCCGAGCTGCTGCTGAGTGGACCATACCGATAGTCGGAACCCAGCTCCACCAAAATGTTATATTTCAACCCATTTTCAAAAATGCAGCGTTATGTTAAATGCACTGGGTTTTACCCTATTACATTTAAATTTCATGGTTAAACAGTACATGTTAAAATCTAAGCTCAGCTAGTGCAAGAGCGGCAGTGACCTAAAATCATCGACATAAATACATAAATAAAAATTTACTTACTAATTAATTGGAGACTCCTTGGACGCTCTGTTAGTGCAATTAATACCACAGCAAGTCATTTTGTCCAACAATTGCACCAATAATATCCAAAAAGAACGCACAAACGCTACACCTAATGGTCTAAGTTGAGAGACTGAAAATGACCGAACAGTTTTCAGGCGAGGCCGAGGCTCAGACTGAGGCCTTTCCCAGGAGCTAGCTCTGTGGTCACTGGGTCTGATGCTCATTAATTATTCAGAATTTTAGGCATTTATTACACTTAAACAGAAGAGTGACAAAAAAATCACCCTCCTCAGAGTTGTCATGAGTGTAAACTAGATCTATTAAACATAAAACATGTTCTGTTACCAGGCTCTAAACATGTTTATTTCTGCTGTGAAATTGGTATTTTTAACATGGGAGTCAATGAGGATTTACTCACTTCTGACACCAGCCCCTAGTGGATGAGGGTGGAACTGCAATTTTTGTCACTTTCGCATTGGCTTCAATTTCTGTCCCAAATTATGGGGGCTTGGGTTGGTGTTGGTGTGTGTGTGTGTCTGCTCTGTCTTCTCGATCCCCAGTGAGTTATGAGTGTGTGAGTGTGTGTGTGTGTGTGTGTGTGTGTGTGTGTGTGTGTGTGTGTGTGTGTGTGTGTGCGTGCGCGTGCGCGTGCGCGTGCTCTGTCTTCTCCATCCCCAGTGAGTCGTGGAGGATGGCTGCTTATACTGAGCCAGGATCCTCTGGAGGTTTCTTCCTGTTAAAAGGGAGTTTTCCTCTCCACTGTCGCTAAATGCTTGCTTAGTATGAGGATTGCTGTAAGGTCACTGACACTAGTCAGTGACTTGATGCAATTTGCTGGGTTCCTTATATAGGAAACATTTTACTGATTGGCTTAATGAACTGACCTGAATTGGAATGTTTATTATGGGAAGTGCTTTGAGACGACTCTTGTCATTATTTGGCGCTATATAAATAAACTTGAATTAAATATTAGTTATACAGCCATGCAGAAATTTTGGTTCTACTTTTGGGTGTGATATTGGGATTTCATTAATGTATTTTTTCCTAATAGAAACTTGGCAACCTCACAACCTCAACACAGACAAAATTGTGGGTCGCCTCTGTCAGTGCGCCCCAGGGCAGCTGTGGCTACATTGTAGCTCATCCCCACCAGTGTGTGAAAGTGTGTGTGAATGGGTGAATGACTGATTGTGTTGTAAAGCGCCTTGGGGGGTTCTAGGACTCTAGAAGGCGCTATATCAAATACAGGCCATTTACCATTTACATTTACCATTTACCCCAGGTTGGGAACCACTGACCTAGGTGACCAGAGGTGAAACATGTGGTTAAAAATGTCATCACTGTTCAGATGTTGTGGAGACTAGAGAAACTGAAAAACACCCTGAAAAAGCATTAATATTAACGACCTCCCATTGACGGAAATAAGTGTCATATTAACACCACAAGAATAACAGCCTGACTGTATAAATGACTGGCCTAAAGCTTGGTTTATGCTTGACGTGTCGGCGAGGTCCGCACTGCCAAATTACGTCATTTCAGCAACCACACCCTCTGCGTGGCCTCCACATGACCCAAAGTTTCCACACCATGCACCTAGGAAGTTTTCTAACCAAGCGAACAGTACTGCATGGAAAACGTGGCGGAGGTTCTTAAGTACAGACATCTTTATGATTCGTCGGAAAAGACGAGGACACTGTGAAAAAATGTTGTAAACAGTGATTTATACTTCTACTATGGTGTAGTGTTCGATGCATGCCATAGAGCCCCATGCCGCCCCCTACAGTCTGGGAGTATATTGGCTCACAGTGGAGACGAGCCGCAGAGGGTAGGAAGGACCCATAAACCCTGAAAGTTCCAATGCACGTTCCATCCACGAGTCTCATTTCCTTGCAAAACGTACACGTGTCAAGCATAAACCAAGCTTTAGCCTTTACTTTCACTGGTGTCTCGAAAGCCGTGTTTGGAAATATGGAATCGCCGATAACCAGAGTTGGTTTCCTAGCAGGTTGTCACTGGGTGGAGCAAAAACCAGGAGAAACATGGAAACAGTGGTGAACTACAGATGTTTTACACTTCCTTCTAACAGTCGCCCAGCTGAGCTGAGCATCAGCTGCTTGGGGTCTGCTGGAGGGCCGCTATGGGCTCTGGCTCCTGATAGCACCAGACTAGCTTAGCGGGCTGGCTATCAAAAGATGTTTCAGCAGCACAGAGCTGATCTTCGATACCAAAGGTTGCATTTATTACATGAATTATTATCAGTAAAGGAAGCAGAGACATAAACATCTGATACACACAACATATGAGAGCCAGAGAGGGAGGAGCCATGATGCTAAGCTTGGTACACCAACAACCACGAGGTGATTAAGTACCACAAATGTTACTTAAAGCAACAGGTGATTAGAAATGGGATGTATTTAAATGTATTATGGGTAGATTTTAGCCTAGAAATCTAGACCAAACAGAACAAGATTTTGCTCTGCAGGTTCGGCTAGCCATGCTCCATTTCATCCTCAGCTGCTCTGCCATTGGCCAGGGCATTTTTGTGTCAGGCCAATCACAGCACTGTACGTTTGTTAGGTGGGCTCTGGAGAAAAGCCACAAAGCTGGCGTCTGCTCATGAACGGCACCTAGAGCTGAGGAAAATAATCAAATAATCGATGCATCGGGATGCGAACATAAACGATTCTGCATCATAGAAGAGTACGCCATAACCGATTATAGTGGAATGTAGTTTTGTTTTTTTAACGGCGACACCAGCGCAGCATCCAAATCTGTCAGTGAGCGTCCTCCACATTTACCAAGTGGTTCCGCCTTAATGTGGTACTGCAGGGCTGAGCGCTAGAGTTGTAACCTGAGACCGAACCGGAACCGAATCAGCCCGACCGTTCTGTTGGATTTGGGCCGTGAATTAAGTTAATTGAGCGGGTTGTCGTGCGGCGCGCTCCGCTCGCTCGCACAGCAACTGAGAGAGGGAGAGACACTGTCTGCTCACACAAGAGAGAGGATCGGAGGACGCTCCTCCAAACCGATGCTCCAAACCCGTGTTATTATTTTCATAATTTAATTATTGTTTCTCCTGGAAGCGCTCAGTCAGACTGCTTGTTGTAATGTAGGGAAATCCGGTCTTGGGGAGGGGGCGGGGTCATTGACGGCGGCTGCAGCGTGATTGTCTCTTTTATTTAGGGACACAGAGAAGTTAAAAGGAGAGAGAAATGGAAGACAGAAGTTCTTGTTCCACTTTATTCTTTTGTTTCATGAAGATAAACTGATGTTGAATTCAGCTTAAAGAGAAACTGGAAGGAAGCTTTGGTTCATTTTAGGTTGCAGGAGGTCTTGTCTCCTATCTGCTCCTCCAGAGACAGCATGGACATGAGGGTTACATGGTGAGGGTCCCACAGGACAGGTTAGTGGAAAGGTTTGTAGTTAGCTGGTTAGTGAAGGAGATCCATCAGCTGGGTAATTTAATCCTAATCCAGCCCACAGCCTTCTGCTGGTGTTATTATCAGAAAGAATAAAACACACATCTTAAAGGGACATTATGGAAGTTTGACAGCCAAAACATGTATAGAAATAATAAATGTCTTCTTCATACATTCTCCTGCAATGCCCTGGTCCTGTAGAATGAGCCCTGGCATTTTTACTGTGATTGCCTGTTTTTCTGTAAAATCACAGAAAAAGAGAGATGCTCGGGTCGAGCAGGCTGCTTCATGCGCGTTCTCGCTCAGGCATCGCCCGTAGCATTTGCTATCCGTAGCTTTAGCAGCAGAGAGAGAGGCAGTGCCACTTTGTCGCTGTTCCTAACGCCTAGTGACAAAGCTAGCTACATTTCTGAGGACCCTTAGCTACTTTCTGTAGAACTTTCTTCTAGATATTTCCTGCTAATTAGCAACAAAATAGCCAATTTCACTCCGAACCGTTCTTTGAACGTTGTTTCAGCTGTCATCAAGGATATAAAAGTTACAGATACAATAGACGTCACTGGCGCTTTAGCTCACCTAGCAAGACGTCGGACTCTCGTGCAGAAGACCCAGGTTCGATTCTGGATGTGAACATAGTTCATGTAGAGTTTATTTTTTACATTAATGGTATATTTTTTTACAGTAAGATGCCCAAATTTTTTATTTGAGACTCGCCGAACGGCATTGAATTCACAGATAAAAAAGATGTGGGTTCAACTTTCATTTTGGAACAATTTTTCAAGCAAGGGAAGGGAATGATCTGAGCATGCAGGAGGACTGACCCATCATAAACCTTTGTCGGCTGTGCTGAAGAGAAAGGTACAGAACCAAATTATTTAATTAATTAGCTGCACGTTCTCCTGTCCTCTGGGCCACACACACAAGGGACTGTCGTTAAGGAGTGTGCACGTACAGCATGCGCGCCTCGTGCACGAGCCTACTATTGAAGCTGCTGTTACGCTTTTGGCCTGAGGGGGCAATCGCGAGCATAGAAATTCAAAACTCCGTAAAGTCCCTTTAAATATGATTTTAAGTGTAGGAATTGTTTTATGTTTTATTATTTTCTGCATCAAACAGAACTTGATTCATTCTCCAACATGTCAGAAATGAACCACTGGGTTCAAATAAAATAAACTAAGTAAAACATTTTATTTGGTGTTATTTCTGACACCCTTCAACTGCAGCATAAATATTTGACTCTAAAGCTGCTCAGAGACATTAAACACTCATATATGAACACATTATGGATTTTATTATTACATTATGTGTCCTGTAAGTTTTACGTACTTTTTTAGATTTTGTGAGTTTTTGCAAAGCGTGTTTTTCTCAGCCTGAGGCGTGGTGTTGAACGAGGAAACAGATGTTTTACTTTGTTAAATCTTCTTAAACGTTTAAAATGTTTTGTCCTGACCTGTTGTGAATGGAGAGCTTTTCAGAGACGGCAGGTTGTGTCAGTTACGTTTTTGATTAATAAATAAATAAATAAAAGCAATTATCTGACATTGTTTATTTGTCGATGAAAACAAATCAATATGAAATAATCGTGATACATCGGGATATCGAATCGAATTGGATCGTTGACCCAATAATCGTAATCGAATCAGGAGGCAAGTGGATTCACACCTCTAACGGCACCCATTTCAAACAGCTTTTGCATCAACTTTAGACACTGAAGGCAATGGTTTGCAGCCATGGGGAGAGTTTTTATCCTGTAGAAACATGGCCGCCGCCCTGGAAGCAAACTGCGGTACCTCTGTCCCTAAAACAACTCATCTTTTTTCTCTTTTTCTTTGTCAGTGTGAAACACTGGTGGAGGAGCTGGAGGAGGACATAATCCCTCTGTTCAGCCGGGGTGGAGTAAATGTGCATGAGGTGTTGTGCAGCGGTAGGTTTCATTCATTCATATATTGTCACGCCTACCACCACATAAAGGTGCATCATGTTCAGGCCTGTCAGAGCGGTGCTGGTTGTTTAATGACCTACGCTGAACTACAGAGGATGATTGCATGATGATGAAATCCCACCAGCTTCATGTTTTTCTTTCTCTTTGTTATTTCAGATTATTGCAAAGATGGCCGCCACACCAATGAGGAGCTGTAGTGATTTAGGACCTCAGTGGGACTCGTGTTGCAGAGACCTTCAGCACGTCTGAGAAAAAGCACTTTTGTCGAGCAGAAACAATTTTTTAAACAAATAAAAAGAATGCATCTTGAAAAACATCTTGAGACCATTAGTTTGCTTCTATGTGCACCATGTTCACCAATATCACAGTAAAGGATTGTGCCTCGTAGTTTTCTGATGACTTCTGCAGACTCAACTCATGTTGTTTGGTTCGTGTTCATCAGCACAATAAAAAGAACTGTGGAGACCTTAAAGCAAGCTCAAATCTTGTATGACTACACAGAATCTACTAAATGTTATCGACTCATTTCTGAGTCAGCTTTTCACAAAAAAAAAAGGTTCATTTGTTCCGATGTGTGATAGCGAGACGCTAATGCCGAGCTTCAGGATTAAACTCCAGAATAGCTTTTTGTTTTCTCATTCCCCTGGCCAAAGTCACACGGCTTCAGTCTGGGGGGGTTGTTATTGTGTAGATGTGCTGGTGAAATTATAAAGTTAGTGATCTTTCTGCAGCAATAACTAAAGCAGCAAACCCATCAGGGAGCACAGGTTGGTGCTGCAGGAGATAACAGGGCTGGAATGCACGGATGGATCTCCCGTTAGTTGACATTTTCAGGCTCAGGACGTCGCCATGGTGTAGCGTACCAAATGGCCATGTTTTTCAACAGAATGACCAGACGTTAGCTGTAAACTTTACAGGCCAAACTTCTTCATCCAGGCCAGTCCGACACCGTTGTGTGTCACGGGTCCTCAAGGCTGCAAGAGACGCAGGACCTCGTATCTATCCTCTTTGAATAAAGCTCGTCTTCCCCGGCTCATAAATGACTTTGAAACGTCATATAAACATATGTTAAACGGACAATTTGTTTAAATCCAAAGTGTTTTAATAATGTGTCCTATACTGTACATTAACAAAAGATCCTGTAATGATTTATTTCAGATTTTAAATTATGCCTAATTAGGATTTATTGATTTTAATGTTAATCTATCGGTATGAACCCAGTAATGTCAGCATATTATCATAAGTAGTTAAAACATTTGTGCTTCACATAATCTGTTCAACATATTTACTTCACTAAGAATAACCTCCAAGTATCTGGGTGAAGGGGTTATTTCCTGAGGTATTTTTGTAACGCCTTTAAACTTTGTCTAAATTTGTCAACAGTAGTTAATAAAGGCTAGGTCACTTCCTGTTCTAGCCAGTTCTCCGCCGCCTTCCGATTCGGCCGACCGGGTAAAGCTGGGCGTACACTGTGCGACTTTTTCACTCGCAGCGTTCAGCTTCAGCTCAAACTGTACGACTTCCTCACAGGGCAGATCTCACGAGTCATGTGCTCACACTGCACGACCCAGTTCTCGCATGCGACCTGACTGCTCACACTGTACGTCTGGTAGCAACACGTCGGACCTAAAAATATGCTAAAAAAAGCAGTTTTTACTCAACACGTCAGACTTTTTTGTCTTGTCTTGCCTGTTGTCCTTCGGGAGTGCTGCAGGAGGACACACAGGGATTTATGGGGGTTGGATGAGGAAAACGAAATAAAGAAAGTAAATCTGTGTTTTGTGATCAGTTTAATTTGACATGAACACGACAAACACGCTTTCTTGACAATCTTTGTGAGTAAAAAACGGGTAGAAACAAAAACGAACAGCGTGTGTTATTAGGGAAATAGCGAGCGGTGTTGATGCAGGATTGCGCATGCACCGTGAACAGTTCTGATACTTTTTGGGTCGCAGCTGCTCGCAGCGCCGCTTCAACAGTGCAATACCCTCACGAGGGAAGAGCGAAATATTAAACACGCCAGAAGACCGTGCGACCTCACGACTGCTGATCGGCAGCTGGTCACGTGGTGTTAATCGCCTCTCGTAACCCCCTGTACACTACACGACGCTCGGCGCAAAACTCGCCCCGATGTCGTGGATTCTCTCACGACTGGAAAATCGCTCCAAAAAGTGAAAAAGTCGCACAGTGTACGCCCGGCTTAAGCAAGCATTTGGAACCATCCTCTCTTTAGACTCGAAGCCTCTCGGCAATGCTTGCAAGTGGTATCAGATGCTAAATAGATATGCCAGCTTCCTGCCGTCACCTTGAAGGTATCTCAGAGTAGACGGGTGGTACCCGGAGCTAAATTACGGGTTTCGTTACCCAGAGGTCCATGCCACCGGCAGTTTGTCCATAAAGACCTCTTGACCTCCTGGATCGCTCGAGGGCCTTTAACTCAAAGGGTTCATAACTTCTGGTCATTTTGGTGAAAAACATGGCCATTTGGTACACTACATCCCCCCCCCCCCCCCCCCCCCCCCCCCCCCCCCCCAAGGGCACAGGGTCACGGACAGAAGAGCCAAAACTCAACTTCAGTGATGTTGCCTATTTTCCCTGGCGATAGGGGGCAGTACATACGTAGAACTTTGCAAGCAAGTGGTATTTTTGTTTGAGTTAAGCCTGGTTCATGCTTCTCCGTCAGCGCCGCAAGGGACAGACACGCACAGATTGACGGAAGCGTTTTGCTCTCATACTTCTCCGTCTCCTGGAGAGTGTTGCAGGGCAATTCCCCGCCAGGACAACAGAGGGCACTGTTCTGTGGTATCCTGTCATGTATCGGTCCAAGATAGTGTGTTTATATTGTGGGGTTTTTTTTGTATATAAGAGACTTTTTAACACAGACAAATTTGTCTCTCATCCTCCTCCACCTCTTCATGCGCTCCCCACCTCTAAACCCACGTTTCCCATCATTTCCGTCCACAAATAAAATGCTTGCTGCGCATCTTTTCACTCCTCCAGTCACGGGAGAACTAAACATTCATATTTTTAGAGTTTTTTCACGAGGTATTCTTCAAGCTGCTCCGTGTCTGCCGCTAGTTATCCTCGGCTCTCTTTATGTTTTTGAGGGCGCAATGGCGGCGGTATAGATGACAGCGGCGTCCTGACCAATCACAAACTTGCGTTGTCCGTCTCGACTGACGGATGTTTAGAAAAGAGAGTTCGACTCCGTCCGTCCTTGCGGGGTTCTCCAGCAGGCCTGCAAGGACGTTGCATGTCTCCCATCGAAATATGGTGTCTCCGCACTGACGCAGACGAAGCATGAATCAGGCTTAAGACCTTACCAACGCAGGGCCATTAGGGTAAAAAATCCCTGGGAGCGCAACGTCCAGCAAAATGACGAGCACATCAGATTCCCTTTCATCACTGGCAACGAGGTAAATGTGAAAACATCAATGTTTATGAATGGCAAAAGTTTTTAAACTGTTTGTTACGAATCGGTAAATGCATTTTGTCCTCATGGGCTCCTGTAGAAGGAAACATGGTGCCTCCCATGAGATTAGACCCACTCCTCTGTATTTTAGTCCTGATTTTTATGCTTGTATGTTTATTTTTCAACAGCTGGGCATCATTTAATTAATCTTCAACAACATTTTGATAGATATTTCCAGAAATTAACTGTAAAAACTACATATTGTCTCTTTAATGTGAAAGTAAACACTTTTTTTCAGACTTGGATTTATTGTGCTGAGAAAAGGTTTTACACTCTATCTCTGTGTGTGCAGTCTTAAGGCCTAGTCCACACGTAGCCGGGTTTTTTTTTAACGAATATCCGCCCCTCCAAAAACTTGCATCCACACCACCTCGTTTTAAAAAAAACTCTGTCCACACGTACCCAGATAAATACGTTGTTAAGAACATGCCAGACCTGTAGGCGGCAGTACTTCCCCCGTTCTTAACCTCGTCCTTCGTCTGTGGTCTTCCGCAAGGAGCAGTAATTCCGCTTGCAAAAACAAACAAGCAAAAAGCGCTTGGACAATTGATAAAGCAAGCACATCTCTGAGGGCATCCATGCTGTCGGCTAGTGTAAACACAGGTCGCACACGTGATGTCAGCATGTTTTGTCGCAGAAAGTGACGTTGCGGATCTTAAAACTCCGGTGTTGTCTGTCCACACGCAGACACCCAAAATGGAGAAAACGCAGATTTTCACTTTGGCCGGAGTTTTTAAAAAGATCAGTTTTCGTGTGAAAAAACTCAGTTTTCGTCTGGATGACAGGCCAAAACGTAGAAAAATATCTACGTTTTGGCAGATCCCCGGCTACGTGTGGACAGGGCCTAAATGAACCCCCCCCCCCCCACACACACACACACACACACACACACACACACACACACACAACCAGGCCCATCAGGTAGTGCCCAGCGTAGGACAAATATAAACTGGTGTTTAAAGCTGAAGACACGAGTAAGTGAATGCAGCACCCCATCATCTCCACTCATGGTTTTTTTTTTTTTTTTTTTTTTTTTTTTGTACATCAAAGTTTTGGGACTTTACAAAAACATTAAATGTAAAAAAAAAAAAAAGAAAAAAGGCTGTAGATGGTTTTGTCTCAGCGGCCCATTTTCCACGAGCTGGCTCAGGCCCTGGCAGGTCCGGTTGTGGCCCGTCTCCCGACTGGGTGAGGTTTACCTCAGACTGGGGCGACTGCTGATGGATGAGTTGTTATTGTTTATGGGTTTTTTCTTTGCTCAGCATTTGTTTCTAAATTCTGCTTCAGACTAAATTTACTTTTTGGATTCTAATATTTTCCCCTTCGTTCTGTAAAACGTGGCCACTGAGCTTTAGCCTTTACTTGTTTTCTAATAAGATTAAAATATATTTGTCCTGGAGATTAGCATAGTTAAGTTTTCCCTTTCTGGAAGGGAGGGGGGGCTTGATGGGGGTTTGGCAAGGGCTTCTGGGTCGGCTGCTGCAGGCTTTGATCAGTCTTGTGCAGCGAGGCCCGGGCTTGGCCCGGCCATCCGAGGCCCGGGTGTGAAATTGGTCTGATGTCATCCTCTATTCTCCACCTTCACCAGCTTTCAGGGGCTATAATTATATTTCCGCCACAAAACCCCCATTCCCTTCATTCCATATTCCAAGTTTGACTGGGAAGCATTTAGAGAAGTATGGGCAGATCTCTCAGTGGGGGGAAGGGGGACTGGATGGGCAGTCTTTTGTCTGACAGAGACACAGGAGACATCAATACATGTGATATGTACTTTTCCTTTCTCTGCTCGTCTGCCCTTTCCCGCTGCCGTAGCACAGGGCAGGTTGGGTTTATGGGGATGAATA